TCTCAAATAAATAAATAAAATCTTTAAAAAAAATAAAATAAAATAAAAATGTCTTTAGACTTTGCCACATGTCTCCTGGGGGACAAAATTGCCCCTGCTGTGTTTCATGTTACCAAGATGTGAAATATTTCCCGTGGGAAAAATGGAAATAGTATGGAAAATATTTAAATCTATTATGTATAAACCTCCACAAATAGGAATTTTTAAATCACTTGCCAGGAGACACTACTAGATGCTGTAAGGATATGGTGATGAGTAAAATAGTTTGTTACAAAGCAGTTTATACTGTAAAAAGGCCCAAGTAAACTAGTCACTAGAATACAGTAAAGAATATGATAAAAGTCATCTTGGTTCTAGTGCAAGCAAATTCAAAGTGCTTATACAGAAAGGAAATTGTGAAAAATAAGTAAAGCAACCAGTTGAGAATTATGGAGAGCTAGAGACATATGTCCCATTTAAAAAAGGCACCACCAAGTGTCCTATGGAATCTCCAGGTGATCTGCATGCTCAGAAATGCTGGTCTAGTGGACAATTTAAAATGAAAAGCATCTAGTTTACAGGATTTGGTCTATCTGGACTGTTGATTCATCTAGAAACTTGAGTCCAGTTTGAAAAATAAAATACATTTTAAAAATACCTGCTTCAACAATCACTAAATTCACCCTCTCCTTTCACCCCATACTCCATACCAAAAACCCAAAATGGAACATACATGTGATGGGAGAGTATATTTTGTGTTGGAGAGGCTTGAGGAGGAAGATTGTTCTGTTTTGTCCACCCTTGAAATGATAGAACTCTAAAAGGTCTGTCACTCTATTGTCCCAGGTTGATGCTGCTTAAATACAGACGCTTGAATACTGAAATGATCGAGTAGAAGGGGTACTTTATGAAATTACATGCACAGAAACAGTCTGAAACACTGCCAGAACCCATAGATGCGTAGTCTTACAGCATGTCACCCTCCCACTCCCCTCGCTGAAGCAGCTTACTCTGTCTCATTGTTCCCTGTTCTGACGCCTTCGGACTCTAACACATGCTCCTACTTAGCCTTCCATCACAACTGGGCCATGAATACCCACTACTTGTTGTCTCCACCTACTGCTCACGCTCATCCCACTCTTGCTCTCATTCTCCCAAACCAGCATCTGCCGCCAACCTCCATCTCACAGAGTAGAGGAAAGAGAACATACTAAGTGCTCATGTTTGCTTTGGGGGCTTCTGGGTTCCAAGAGGTCCATTATTTGATAGTTATCTGTTTGTGTGTCTGACACCACTCCAGCCTGAGCTTGGCCTCAGCATCCAAAACATAACAGACATGCATTCAGCATGCATTCTTCCAACACGTGTACACAGAATGCTTAGGTGTTTTCCATACATTATATTATCTGGCATGCCAACAACACTTCAAAGAAGGCATAAGTATCCTCATTTCACAGATCACTTGTTTAAAAGACAGTTAAGACGCAGCATCATGCTACTACCCAGACTGGGTTAACTCTAATATTTATTTATTTATCTATTGCCATCCTCTCCCACACGCTCAGACTCAGTGGTTGGAACAGGGAATTGGGTTTTTCAAGCCACCGGTGTCATTTCTAGAACATTAATTTTCCACTTTCTTTCTGATTCCTGTTACTTAAAGTCTAGCTATAAAATTATCTATGCTGTTGTCTTTCATGTTTCCCAGCCCAAAGACACTATGTCAACAATTTAATGATATATAAAAATGACCCTCCAGATTCCTCAAACTCTGTTTTTCACACTTTTTGCCTTAATAGAAATGCATGTCCATTCCTTTTCTCCTAGTAAAGAACTTTATCTTACTCAATCTCATCAACTCAGGAACACTTGCAATTTAAAGATCTCATAATTCCTAGTATCTCTCAAATCACATTGCATCCACTAAAACTATACCTTCCAACATTATTGTTCAGCCATTTCTCTTAAAGCTCTCTTGGCTTCTTAAAGTCAAGTGCCACTTCATTTTTTTTTTATACCTCTTCATTTGTCATGGGATTGAGGACTCTAAATCTATAAGTCAAATAATATTAAACACACCAGAGGGGATATATGCAAGAATTGGGGTAAATCTAGCTTTAGTGTGAATACTTATTCTGTAAAGCTTTAATTAATCTGTTTTATAAAGTAGTTTCTTTCAAGTAAGGAACCATAGGTGCCCATTTCCCTGGATCTATAATAGCAGGGCACCCCTAGGGGGCGCTCCGTCTCACAAAATATAAGTGACTGACCCGAGCATGACAGACGGAAGGGATCATTTCAGGGGTGTGGGCTCACAGAAGAACCTCAGCCCACAAGAAGGAGTTTGCGTTAGAAAACCTACTTAGGTTCAGAGCTTTTGAAGAATGTCTGCTATGATTATAATAAGCCAGTCCTGGGTATCCAGAGTTGGCAAAGCAAGCGCGGAAAGAGGTGAGCAACAGGCACTGGACAGATTGCGTTTCTCCTTGGCTGTCCCTCCGCTGACTCAGCAAAAGTAGATGGAGTTTGCAGAATTGCCCTACAGAATTGTCCTTGTGGCGGTGTGTATAGCGTTAGGTTGAGTTGAATTGTGGACAAAGCCTGCTGTGTATCTTTTTATCCCTTTCCGCAAAGCAAAATTACCTGCTACTATCCACTTACTATAGGAGCAAAAAGTATCAGGCAACCAGCCTTTGAAAGACTTAGCCATTAGCCCAGGAAAGGAGCAGTAAGTGATAGGAGTTAGGTACCAAAGCAGAAAGATGACTTCAGTTATCCTGGTACATACTCAGGCTTTCAAGTTCTGCGGTCCAGGCAATACCTGGGACCCTTTTATCCCCCATAAGGGTGACCACAATTCCCTCGAGTAAAGATCCTTCCAATTCACGCCCGGAGTTTGCTTTCCTCTCATCCTTGACCTTTGCCATCATCTGACGAAGGGCTATTTGTTTTTCCAATGCAGTATTAAGGAAAAGAGATGACACCAGGCGCCAAAGATCAAATGTGTATTTAAAATTCTGCAGCTCCGGGGAGGCAGGCACATTTCCAGGGCAGTGAGAGGCGCGGTTCCCAGGCTGGGGAAGCCCACCATTTCTCTGCGGGGGAGCTGACCGCGCGCGGCCGTAGCCCCGCCCCTCCCCGCCGGCGCGTGCGGCCGCAGTCCCCGGGCCCAGCTCCCGGTCGGGAGAGCCACGGCGCGCGGGGGGCGGCGTGCCTGCGGCCGGGCGTCCGCGCGGGGGAGATGAATTGGAGTCACACGACTGGCTGTTTCCTTCCGAGGGCTTTTGGCCAGCAGTCCATTAGGGGATCGTGACAACTTTTTTTTTCTGGCTAAAAGGATGAAAACTGAGTAAGTACATAGAACTTTGAACTTGACGCGGAATGAAACCAGTACAAGCAGAACCCTAACAGTCACCATGTCCATTCACACCGGGCATTCCCTTTTTATGCTAAAAGCCGTGAACGCTTACGGGACAGCGGCAATTTAAAACTGGAGGAAGGGAAGCAGCGAAGAAACACGAAAGGCTGAAAGCAGGACTGCTCAAAACTCGGAGGAGAAATGAGGAACCGCTGAGGCGAGCTGGCCTGCATCCCGCGGGGCAACAGGCGCTTTTGGTTTTAGCCTATTGCGCTCTTCAGTGCTGTTTCCAGGCTCCAGATTGACTTTGGGGTTGTTTTCTTTTTTTCCTGTGAAGTCTTTGCTGTGAGTTTAAGGATGTTGTGGAAATAAGGCATTACCGGAGGCAACAGTCTGGCAGCCTGGGGTACGCTCAGGTTATTAGTTACAACTATTATTATTTGGATGTCTTTTTTTTTTTTTTTAAATTTTTAACCCAGGCCAGCCACTTTTCACTGTCATCCATGGAAGAGATCTTATTAACCGCCTCAGACTTTGGGACCTATGATTCTTTGGCATGAACCTTTCGGAAAGTTCTTCAGCGGGGATGGAGCAATCTTGATTTCAGTTGTGGATAAAGAAGGCTGATCTGTATTTTTCATGCTGACAAAAAATAGCTGCTATGACTTTTCCGGCAACGTGGACAGGGGCCAAGTGAAGCTGAACTGGTCATGGTCTGTCGTCCAGTGTTCCCTTGTCGTCGGCGACTTTGTCCCCGGCCCTTCCTGGTGGGCTTGGTGGTGGCAATCTGTCTCTTCTACCAGACCCTGACACTCCGAGGGTCGAGGAAGCTCACAGCCGCTGTCCCTGGGGCTGCCCCGAACACACCCCCCGAAACCCAGGCAAGCAGATGCGAGAAGGGATTCTCCCCGGACAAACCGTGCTTCCTTCCCTCCGGTAATGCACAGGAAATCAGAAAGGTAAGATGGTCACGAGCTTAACCTTGACATTTTCCGTAAAGATAGCAGTCTGCCTCTCTCTGTCCTTTCTGTAAAACTAAAATTAACTTCCATGAGGTCTGAAAGGGATCCAGAGTATACAACGGCCCAGAGGGTGACCTTATGACAGTGAGACACATGTTAGCTTCAGCTTCTTCTATTTACTTCCAGAAAGTCCTGGCCTTTATCTCCTCTCTTAGAGTTTCACTTCTTTTCAGCTGAATGAAATAGACAATTTGGAGTTGGTGGGAGTGATGTGAATTCTTTCTAAAGTATTAGGATTCTGAGAGATCTGAAGATTTCCAGTTCAGGAACAAACCATAGATTCATAAAATTTGATCAACGTTGAGTGTTTCCACAAGGTAGTCAGCATGAGTGCCCAGACCATTCCAGACTCAAAGATATTCCAGAATGCCATTTTATAATTGATTAAATCGATTTTTCATTGGTGAAGATATTTCTAAAGCAACGTATTTATTTCTGAACCATTTAAAGGAATAGTATAATACGTTCCCTCAAAAGAATTGATACCTGCATTTTATTGTTTATAGAATTTGGGAAATATTGATTATTCTATACTTACTATTATTAATATTACTATACTATTACTAATATTACTATTCTAATTAACTTTACTAATTTTGTGAAGTGTTGGAAAAAACACAAAACACACAAAAAACTCCACAGGATTTCTATTTTAATATACCACTCTGTTCATGCCTATCAATGAGATGATGACCTTTAAAATAATCCAGCCTGAAAAAGAAAAAGGAAAAAGAAAAACACACATGCAAAAATTCATGGCAGCAAAGCCACTGACTTCTGTGCTCCAGCAAAAAGTATAGCAAGATAATTTAGGAAGCTATAAGTACTATCTTATATATGCAGTAAATTTAGGTAGATCCTAGGATTGTGGTTATTGTTTGGAGCAGAATTTCCTGTTGAAATTCTAACGCCTCCAGCATGACTACCATCTTGTTTCAAGAACTCCTTTATGTATTTCCTTTAGACTCATAACCCTGTGAGATAGGTAAGGTGGGCATGCTTGCCATCAATGCACAGGTAAGATGGCCGCTGCTCAGAGGTGTGTAGGCAGACCACAGGGCTAGCAGGATGACCTGATACACCCACCTGGTTCCTACCACAGCACTGATGCTGAAATCAAAGTAAGTTCAAGGCTCTGATAACAATTGGTGAAACCACAACTGTAAGAAATATAATAGGTTAGAACAAAAAAAAATTTAAAACCTTGTAAGTGAGTGACTTAGTTTATCAACAGCGTCAAGACACATGACAAAGAATAGCAGATAATATAACTAGAAACACTTCCAGATGAAACTCCAACTGCAAGTGCGAGTCAGTGATTAAATGTTCTAACATCACTGAAGAATCTGTGTTTTTTCATTTGTACTAGCATTAATTTTTATTTGCATTTTTTAATACATCAAATTTTTATTTATTTATTTATTTGAGAGAGAGAGAATGAGAGAGAGCACATGAGAGGGGGGAGGGTCAGAGGGAGAAGCAGACTCCCTGCCGAGCAGGGAGCCCGATGCGGGACTCCAGGATCATGACCTGAGCCGAAGGCAGTCGCTTAACCAACTGAGCCACCCAGGCACCCAATACATCAAATTTCTAATGGGTGTAAACTGTGACTTGGAAAGTCACTTCTTGTTTTTTTTTTTCCCAATATTAATAAATACAGTTTCTTTAAAAGTAGTTGAGATGGTTTTGCTCCTTTTTTTTTTTTTTTCTTTTTTTTTGAGCTAGCTTTGCTTTTTAAGTACGGAGTAAAAATTGGTGCTAAAAATTTTGGACAAAAAGGTTTTTTATTCATTAACTTACAGCTCTTCATACTCCCCGCTTGACTTTATGTGACTCCTGCTTTTGCCTGTAACACAGGCATATGTTAACTGTTATTTGTAGGCTGTCACAGAAAATTCCATTTCAGCTTTGGATCTCCTGCTACTTATAAACCATCTGAAACTTATTGGCTGCTTGTGTAAAACATTCACTCTAGAATTTTCTTCACCAAAAAAAAAAAAAATGCCAATCACATGATTTTTCCCCCAAATTATTCACAATCTTAATATTTTAATCATAAACAAGATTCTAAATTCACAATTATAATTCAAAAGCCCATGGATATAAGAAGTCAATTTCCAAACATTTGCCATATATTTCTATTTTTAACTAATTTGTGTCAGCCATTGGTTTAGAGCCAGTTTTTATTAGAGATAGAAATGAAACTAGAAAGAATCATGTGGAAGTTAGTTAAAACAAGATATAACTTAGTTCTCCTTGTAATACATGTTCCAAGAAAAAAGAATCAAATAATAATCCAGTTTTAAGGATTAAATATTCTGTAAGATAGTTAAAGTGAAAAAACAAATGTCTTTGGAATCAGTGTATATGGATCATTCTCAAAATGAGCTACCTTATGAAGTTCATTAAAAAAATCACTGATGAAGAAGATAGCAGGAGGGGAAGAATGAAGGGGGGAAATTGGAGTTGGAGACGAACCATGAGAGACTATGGACTCTGAAAAACAAACTGAGGGTTCTAGAGGGGAGTCGGGGGGGATGGGTTAACCTGGTGATGGGTATTAAAGAGGGCACGTTTGCATGGAGCACTGGGTGTTATATGCAAACAATGAATCATAGAACACTACATCAAAAACTAATGGTGTAATCTATGGTGATTAACATAACATAATAAAAAAAAATCACTGATGAGATGCTTGTGTAGATTTTCCTCAAGACCTAAAATTAGCTTTTATAGAAGAAGCATTGTTTCTGTCTAGAAATTTTAGGTTTTGGTATTACTTTTATTTACAAACCAAAATGTTCATTTTTCTAGGGCTTTCCCTTACTGATATCCATCCATTTTAAAGTGATTTTTAAAGTTACTTAAAATAACTGATTTTGACCTAAGGTTCATGGACTCCAGGAAGTATTTGGACTTATAAGATGACTACCAAACACAGACATTTCACACAAAATATTGTGTATATGAGTGTACACATTTGTCTGGGAAAAATCCTGATCCCCTGCAGATATTCAGACCTAAAGAAATACTAAGAACAAACAAAATGATTAAAAAGCAATGCATTTAAACTTTAATTGCTCCTCCAGGAAGTATAAGTTGGGCTTGGATTTATAAATCTGTAAAAGGAAAACAAAATCTTAATGAAAGAATCCATGTGATGACACTTGGAAAAGAATTTCGATGAATGCTGTAGGGATAAACATTCAGAAACTAAAATACACTCACAGAGTCTTTCTCGAATCATAGTTTTCATACTTTCGTGAATGAGCAGTAACTATTCCCCAGTCTCTTTGGTTGCAATTCTTTCCTAGAGAAGACCTTTTGTACTTCATCAGCCTAGCGACAGAGGGTTCTGTAGTAGCAGATATTTAAAGGTGGGTGACTGACTATGCCCTTAATACCTTTACAGCTGGGACTTCGTTCACTGTCTAAAACTGTTTTCAATACAGATTGAGATCATGGTCTAGTATATGCCAACTTTCCATAGTGAGGGAGTACTCTCCCTCTTCTGGCCAAATTTTAATTCTTTTTTCCGTTTGAACTTTCCAAAGGACCTTGCTAAGCAGCTGTACTTTTGTCATTTCTTCCGGGTTTTCTCCCAACTTTAGTTGTTTAAATTTTGGCTACTAATCTGCCATGTCTTAAAATCATTTCAATTTAATGTGTAAGCTGAAGACAATTCCATCTGTCTTCACTGAAGTAGATCACTCAGTAGATTTATTTGTTTTCCTGGAATCTAACACTTTAATATTTCACAACATAGGAAGCACATTAAATGATAAACAGACACAATGGAAGAAAATATGCTTAATATACATCCTTAGTATATGTTCCTTTAATGGAAACTTTACTATTTGGAGAATACATTTATACTCACTGTAGCCATGTGTTACTGATTATCTCCTGTTGATACTCCGCAAGGAGAATTCGTAGTTCTTTGTTGCTTGACTATTCATTTCTCCATTTCTTCTGGACGCTCCATTCTCCTTAAGTGACTACTCTCTACAACTACTCTTCCTGGTATACAACCATAATCCAATGCAAATAATTAAATGTTTTCATACAAATATGCTCTATTTAACTTAGTTTGTGTCTCCAATAATGCATAATATATTTAACATTTGAAAATTTCTAAAAATTGCTTGTTTAGGCCAGGTTTTCTATAGACAGAACCTGAGGCAAGCACTTACATGCTAAACTTCATTAGATGCTGCAATCTCAGGGATGCAAGAGTAGGGGGGAAAGGGAACAAGGACAGCAAAGACAAATGGGTGCATTTATGAGAGACATAACCAGAGAGGCTGTATTACATTCTACATCTCAGAACAAGCATGGTGGGGAAGGGGCAGGAGGGACAAGTGATTTATCTCTTGGCTTTTCCTTTCTTCTGTCTTCCATTGGTTAGAGTTGTCCCGTGCTACTTCCATGTAGTGTTACCTGGACTCTCAGGGTGGCCACTGGGCAAGCCAGGGCCTCAGTGGGTGCAGTCCTGTCAGGGCAAAGGTGGTTCCTCTTCTCAATCAGTATGGCGCATAGGAACTCCCAGTTCTGTGGTGGCCATGGTGGTAAAAATGGTGTCCATGGCTTACCACAACCATGCTGCAAGTAATGTCCACCGGAGGGGTATGTGATACAGTAGTTATGCTAATGTTGCTTTCTAAAAGCCACAGAATATGTCAAAATGTGCTCTTACTCTTGGGAAATGGCATCACTCTCTTTAAGTGAAATGTTTGTAATTATCTCACTGAGAGTTCTCCAAATTAAAAAAAACAATTCTCACTTCATCTTTACCCTTTGTCTTCCTAATTCAGTTCATTCTTTCATTTTCTTCATTCCTTCAGTGACTATCTGGTGAGCAGTTTGTGCCAGACACTGTTCGAGGCACGGGTGGCACAGAAATAAAAGGCATTGTGAGACAGATCAGGAGTTAAATC